TTATATACAGGGTGGTTGGTAACTGGTGGTACAAGCGGAAAGGGGGTGATTCTATGCGAAAAAAGAAGTCGAAAATATAGAATAAAAATTTTTCGTCTGAGGCTTTGTTTTCGAGAAAATCGACTTTGAATTTTCGCTCGGTACGCGTGTGGTACGTTATAACGGATCTCACTGTAGATCGTTGTCTTGATGGAAAATTAAAAAAAAAATTTTTTTTTAATTTTTATTCTATATTTTCGACTTCTTTTTTCGCATAGAATCACCCCCTTTCCGCTTGTACCACCAGTTACCAACCACCCTGTATATAAATATATTTTTTAAACATTGGGTTTGGGTATTTTATTCTGTTACCTCAGGTGACTACACAAACCGGACTCCATTTCTTGCGCAAGATGGTTGCCAGATGTTTACACATCCTTATTTCGGACCCTGAAGAATCTCCATGACTCACTGTAGATCTTAGCATTTTCATAGTTAATTTCCTTCAGACCAAACAGGTATCTTTTTAGTTGAAGTATTCTTTATATTTATTGTCTTGTCCAATTAGAGTCAACGACCATTGTCCTCACCTTCCTAGTCAAAATTACCATCAACGAATCCGATGGTACCGTGCGCTAGACACACTCATCAATAGTTTTCCTCTACGACAACATCGTCATCAAACTTCACTGGTTTTTCATCCTTGCATCAGTCACATCTCTTGACTGGTTTTCCGTCCATTGACCAGTCATCAATTTAACTTGTTACTACAAAGTTGTTAGAATAAAGTGTATATTATAACCTGTTACTTCAGTGCTATAATCAGTTCAACCATCTCTATTATTCTAACTGAAATAGGAGATCGACCAATTCGTGGCATCGATTATGAAATCGCAACGGGAATTTACGACTTTTGTTGGCGGGCTTCTTGGCAATCGCGTCTCCCCGCGAACGGTCGAAAAAGCTAGTGCATCTCTCAAGAGGATAAAGCCTCTCTAGGATCTCAGGAATTTTTTTTTTTTTTTATTATTTATTAAAATTACAATCAATTCTCGCGTTGAGAATTTTCAGTAATTTTTCTAGTGTGGCGCAGTAACATGGCTAATTATTTATAATAAGTTAATACTTGTTATAGATAAGTATAATTTGTACGTAAATATTGTAAATAAGTAGATGTTATTTAATTTAAATAACTAGTTGAATCTGTCGTTTAGGTCTTAGCGGGTAGTGTCTCTTTAGCCTGCGAATCTGGTCCGTCGTATCAAGTAGTCCAGTGATTAGGGGCTTTCGGTGTTAGGATCTCAGGAATGTAAGTACTTTTATATATTGTATTTCAATTTGTTCAATTTTTTGTATTTTGTTTGAATTATTGTTAATTATGAAATAAAAATGATTGATAATTTAGAAAGCTATAAATGTCTTTCTTTTAATTGAAATAAAGTTTGAAAGTGTTAAAATTTAATTACAATAAGACTTTCTGGTGCACATAAAAAATCACTGATGTTTTGATTTCAAACTTTTATATTAGAGTTTCAATTTATATACTTGTTGAGATATGTATAATTTTCTGTGCTCGACTAGGTTAAGTGCGTAGTAGAGATATTTGTATGCGAATATCAGTGTGTGGAAGTATGTGTGTCCGAAGCGTCTCGAAAACAGATGAATGTAAACTCCACAGTCGGTTAAGGGTCGTCGAAGAGTCGGTTTACAGTCGGATATAGAAGAAAGCGCTGAGACGCGTGCAAATGTGTATCGATGAATATATAAGGAATCGTCCATGAAATAAATACATTATTATTTTATTATTAATCCTCAGTGTAAATTTAGTGTTCCTATAACATTATTTCGGCCTCAAAGATCCACAATTCTCAACAATACTTACTAGAGTTTATTAGAATTTCGGTCTTTATTATTGCTATTGGTCATTATGTTTATGTTTTATTATAGATATATCACTGCTTCAGCTTCTTCGTCTTCTTTGGGAATGTTCTAACAGTGGCTCAAAAGCCAAGAATGTAAGTATCTTTACATATCGTACTTCAATTATGTTTATTCTGTATATTTTTTTTTGAACACTTTTTGTTTGATTGAAATTTTGGATGATTAGAATCTTCTTAGGTTACTCTCCTATTAAAATAAATAAAGTGTTAATGTCTTAATATCGAATTATAAAACAAATGGAAAACGTATTTAAATCATTAGATTCTTAATTTCTAGATTTTAAAATTTCATTCCAGGGTTTCAGTTTTTATACTTATTGAAGTTTATTAGAATTTCAGTCTTTATTATTACTAATGTTACGAATTTAATAAACTTCTACTTTTCATTATCTCCAACTTTCCAAATAATTAGCAATCACTCATTGTGTTTTGTTCTGTAACAGATTTTGCACAATCTCTATTTCTATCATTGGATTTTCAACGGTTCCTGTCTGATGTTAATTTTTTAGGTTGGTTGGTGAGGAAAGGTGTTAACCGCCCCCGAGAGAGAGTTACTAGTGGGAAGCATCATATGTGAAAAAACTAACTTTCCCGTAGTAAGCTTTAAAAACGATTCAATAAAGAGATGTTTGTTCGGTCTGAAGGACCTTAGCTAGCAAATTCCTGAGATTTATGATGGATCTTTAAGACTATTGAGGGTACGCAGTAAGGATGAGCGGACAACTGGTTCCCATCTTGTCCGCGGTGTGTGGCCTGGTCTAGGTAGAGTGTCGCCCGACGTAACACAATCCATGCTACTTTTTTCGTAATATTAAAATTTCAATAATTTATTAAATCAATAAAGTAGAGTTATTATAGTTTTAAACGAAATAATAAAATATACAATAAAAAAGACATTAGTCTGTTAAGTAAAAATTAGACAAACTAATCTTCCTTTTAGATCAGGATTTTCAGATTTAACCTTTTCCATGCCTACTGTTAGGATCTTATTCACGTGCCCAGGTGCTACTTGAATACCAGGAGCATGACGAGGGCAGTCTCGTCAAAAGAGGGGCCTTCCCACTCCACACTGGACACGGAGAACTTACAGACGGAAGAAACTACAGAGGAAGAGGACCTAGCCGAAGAGATGCGAACATCTACTACGGCGGACATAGGAGCGGAACTGATCCGTCGAGCCGCAGAGGTGACCAAGGTTGCCGAGACGAGAACTATCGCTGCGGGCGCAACAGAGATGGTGAGGAGAATAGATCGTGTCTGATCCGAACTAGTTGAAACAGTCGAGTCTGACCCATGGGGAAGGCCATACAGGACGGTGACGCGAAAACTTCGCGCGAAAGGCCCTCTGGCAACGATAGAAATGGAACCTGCGCTGCTGCTGCGGATCATCGGGACGCTTTTCCCCCGGCAAGAAGACAGTGCGGCAGAACGGTCGCGGGAAACGACACGGCCGTTGG